AGCCCCCCCCCCCCCCCACAAAAAAAATCTAAAACTTTAACTAAACTTAAATTGAAACCATAAAATTATAATAGTATATCAGCGATAGTAATATAACACTGATGAGGGTGAATTTACAGTACATGACCAAGAGACCTTCCTGACTTTATTCACAAGAGAGACAATTCACATTTAATGAGATGAGTAAAACACTTGAGTGTTTTCAGTTCCACATAAATTGTACATTGGCACGCACCACACCATTTTCATCAAATATTAATAACAAAACAATCAATACAACAATAAAGGTAAATCAGTTAGTTAAAAAATAAAACAACAATTGCAGGAGATAGAAGCTCTTGTTAATGATACAGAATCCTGAGTCAAACATTACAGTAATACTGAGTTACTCTTTTATGATAGAACGGTTTCTTTCGCAATACTGAGGTGTTGAATGTGCAGACTGATGCATGATTCATTTAGATCAGTGCAGGGGTCATGTGACAGTTCAGGTGTAAGTATAAGGGTTCAGCATCTGTAAGAGTGACATTTCTAAAACGCCTTCCTCAGCTGAAGGCGTTTCTCCTCATGACCCCAAGTGAACCCTGTTTTAGAAGAACAGCAAAATGGCACTGCGTCTAGACTCACATCTGAGCAGTTCATTCTCAAATGACACACTCAATGGCTTTGCAATGATTATTGCACAGAAACAGCAGTTTGAAATGTCTAATCAGATGGTTTTGTCTGTGTAGTATCTGATACACGTGAAACTGTTGGGTGTTATCCAATCTTCTAGTGCTCTGTAGACTAAAAACTGCTATGACTTTTCAAGAAATAATCTGCAATGTCTTAAATATCATTTTTCAACAGTTTGAAAGTATCTGAATGAATGAATCCAGTTGTCACTGATAGGCTTCTGTCATTGCTTCACCCAGTGTGTTGTCATACTGCCCTGACAAGGGGTGGGGCTCTCTAAACCTCCTCTGATTGGTTGTTTCAGATAGGCAAGGTTTGTGTGTGCATGTGTGTGGCTGAAACAGAGTTTCCAAGCTCTCCAGGATATTTTTTGTGCTTGTATATAGAATTAGGTCAGCCAATAATGGTCAAAGTTCACGGTCTCTGGAAAACACTGTTGTTATTCTGTCTTAAACAAAAGTGACTCAGTTTCTGTCTGTGAAATTGCAAGAAATTACATTTAAAAAAACTAAAAAACCCATTATAGTAAACATAACTTATTCCTAAAATGTGTTTTTTTCCTTGTGAAATTAAGAATCAAATTCCATGCATGTGCTTATTTGCATGCCTACTGACACCAATTTTATACAGCATGTTCATGTTTGTGTTTTATGATGTATGTTTGAAATCAAGAGTTAGTTCCTATTATATCCCTCCTGTAATGCACATCTCAATATACACATTCTCAATTTTTCAGAAGCAATGGAGTCTCCTATAATTCAGAATCCTATAACAGTAGAGCAGATGTCTGAGATCAACCTTTCTGCTCTAATTGTGATCTGCTCTGAGGGAAAACTCTCAGCTGAGTCTCCACATGCCATTCAGCACATAAACCTATAGATTATGTAAATGTATAAATCTTTATATATACCCACATACTGCATATGAGTATTCAGAATAATGTTTGATCAATGTGTACTTAAAAAAAATACCCTAAACTTTTACATCTCCCCATCTTTGGTAACATATTTATCTATAAATATGCTTCAAATCTATATAAATATAATCTGTATACTTATGCATCTGCTATTATATACTTTTGCATAATAAAAAAAAAAGAATGATAACATAAATATATATTTGTATATATTAAAATAATGTAAAAAATACCATTAAATCATATTTATTTCTTCCTTTCCACAGCATTGGTTCTGCAGTCAGACTGAACTTACTACAGATCTTGCTGCTGGTGGGTGGAGAGTTTACACTAGGGTTAACATGTCTATTTGGCAGCTTGCAACCAATGGATCTGAGCTGCAGGCAATAGGACGTTTAAACTGCAGTGTGCACTAAACAGCACCCAACGACTGCAACAGCAAAATCAGTTCTTGTGTTTTATTCTTTTTCCTAGTGGATTTATTCATCTGACAGGTAAGCAATGCATGAATTGTTCTGGAACTCTCTGAAAAACCTTCAGGCTGTCTCAAACCTAGTTGCCAAGACAGCATTTTTGGAATGGCAGACTCTGTCTTTTCTGATGTTTTTAAATGTCAAGTTAAACTGATTAAAAACGTAAAGTAAGGCCATTTTTAACCCAATTTAAACGTTTCACACTTGTAATTTTGAATCCGAATTGTAGGCGAGTTGTTTAACAACAGGCAACCAATCATAAACCCCTCAGTAGGCTACCTCATGAAATATGCATGCACTTTGTATGTTCGCCCGAAATACTTTCAGTATTTGAGGTAAGATTTGTCGACTTAATTGTGTTTTTTTTAATGATACATTTTTTCATAGACTGACGGTCAAGCTGTAAAAAAAGGTCGCGTGCTGTACTTGTGAGTCGATAGCTTTTATGGAAGTAGTGCATTATACATTTTATTACTGGATTTTATTTCAAGTTTGAACAACTGTCACAAGGACTATCATGCTCAGGCATGCGAGTCGCTTTTGGAGTTTGTTGTCAGACGCGTCGCAGCTATCCGTTTGTTTGGCTCATTCACGCATCTGCAGTTCTGAAGTTCGCCACAGCACAGCTGTGTTCGTCCACATGCTCAGTCAGCAAACAGCCATATTTGAGCACCAGTTGCTCTGATTATGAACATGTCTAACAGCAGTCTCACACTCTTAAAGAAGCAGTTAACAAACAGAGGACTTACGCTCTTTCAGTAAGTTTTATATAGGTGAGCGACACAAACGTGAGGTTACTACTGAGCTACTTCACATGCTGATCGCTTTATGGTCTTGTTTATGTTTTTTTCAGTGCATGCCATCTGTTTTACAAAACGCGTGAATTGTGTTTGAAATGTTGACTGTTTTGCACGTTGTTATTCTTTATTTACTTGTCAAGTACTTGACACTTTCATCGTGTTTGCATTGCATACGTTGAGAATTAAATAAATAAATAAAAAAATTACATAAAAGTGGGCCCAGCACTAAACCCTGAGGTACTCATTTACAGTCTATTAACATTTTGTAATAAAAGTATGTGTTTGTAGTCTTGTACTGTTTCAGAACCATGGCCTTCTTGGGAACAGCAGCACGGAGGGTGATGGCATGCCAAAAGCCCCTCTTGCCCCTCTGCCATGCCACCACCCGCTGCTATAGCTCCCAGTCGACACACACCACAGAGAAGAGCGTCCCCTATGAGAAGACCCTCAAACAGGAGGATGGCATCAGTGGACCCACCAAACCCCTGCCGAAGTTTGCAGATGTTGTGGTGATTGGAGGAGGAAGCCTGGGTTGCCAGACCCTCTACCACCTGTGTAAACTGGGCATGACCAATGTGGTTCTGCTGGAGAGGGACAGGTTGACTGCAGGCACCACCTGGCACACGGCAGGTATTGCACATTTTTTTACTTTGTGAGTAGAGAATTTGATGAGAACAGTTTCTTTCTGTGCTACAACAAATGCTAAAAGTATAGGCAGAAGCACATAAGTTTTGCTTCAATGCACAATGTGTAAAAAATGAATGAATGTGCACGATGTAGAACATTTAGTTTGTTGCAAAGCAGATTTAATGCCTCACTTGTACAGTTTAGTTCAAGAGTTTACTCCATGAATAGGCTTACAGAGCTGGGTTGGTTAAAGTTAAAGCTAAATCCTTGGGCGTAGCAGTCTGTCAAATACAAATGAGATCCAGCTTGTTTTTTGAATTTTGTTTTCTTTGTTTGGATAGTGCAATCTTTTTACCTTTTCACAGGACTTTTGTGGCAGTTAAGACCTAGTGACACTGAGGTGGAGCTGTTGGCTCATACTCGCAACGTGATCAGCTCAGAGTTGGAGGAGGAGACTGGCCTCGAGACAGGCTGGATCCAAAATGGAGGCCTGTTCATTGCTTCCAACAAGCAGCGACTGGACGAGTACAAGCGCCTCATGTCGGTATGGCACAAATCCTAAACCAGACATCTTGCCAAGATGGGACTGCACAATCAAATTTCAAAAACAAATGGTTTTAATAAATTAATTGACTGTTTTTCTAGCCTTGCCTAGAAAATCTATAATTTATTTATCATAATGAATGAAATGTTAGTGATTAAAGATAATCTGATAAGTAAAATACTCATAGATTTTGTATTTCAGCTGGGTAAAGCATACGGCATTGAGTCATACGTCCTATCACCTGCTGAGACCAAGGACCTGTATCCTCTGATGAATGTGAAAGATCTTTATGGCACACTTTACGTGCCTAAAGATGGCACCATGGACCCAGCGGGCACCTGCACCACCCTCTCCAGAGCAGCCACCGCACGTGGTGCCACTGTACGTCTCCATACACTTTACTCTTTTTAAGTGATGAGTGAATTATTCTATATACAGGTGCATCTCAATAAATTAGAATGTCGTGGAAAAGTTAATTTATTTCAGTAATTCAACTCAAATTGTGAAACTCGTGTATTAAATAAATTCAGTGCACACAGACTGAAGTAGTTTAAGTCTTTGGTTCTTTTAATTGTGATGATTTTGGCTCACATTTAACAAAAACCCACCAATTCGTTGGTTGTGCATCTTTTTCTTCCACACTTTTTCCTTCCACTCAACTTTCTGTTAACATGCTTGGATACAGCACTCTGTGAACAGCCAGCTTCTTTGGCAATGAATGTTTGTGGCTTACCCTCCTTGTGAAGGGTGTCAATGATTGTCTTCTGGACAACTATCAGATCAGCAGTCTTCCCCATGATTGTGTAGCCTAGTGAACCAAACTGAGAGACCATTTTGAAGGCTCAGGAAACCTTTGCAGGTGTTTTGAGTTGATTAGCTGATTGGCATGTCACCATATTCTAATTTGTTGAGATAGTGAATTGGTGGGTTTTTGTTAAATGTGAGCCAAAATCATCACAATTAAAAGAACCAAAGACTTAAACTACTTCAGTCTGTGTGCAGTGAATTTATTTAATACACGAGTTTCACAATTTGAGCTGAATTACTGAAATAAATTAACTTTTCCACGACATTCTAATTTATTGAGATGCACTGTTGGAGCAGGGTGAATTAATGTATTGTAAGCCAGTGGTCTGGTTTAAGTTGCGACCTTAATGATACAGTTATTATTGATTACAGGTGATCGAGAACTGTCCAGTGACGGGTATCCAGATCAAGGTTGATGATTTGGGCATTAAGAGACTGAAAGCGGTAGAAACCGCTCATGGGACCATCCAAACACCATGTGTGGTGAATTGTGCAGGTTAGAATGATGCAAACTTCACCAGCAGAGGGCAGTCCTTGATAATGAAATGCCGTTTAACCACATGCTGCTATAAAAGCTTACTGTTTTAAAATGTCCGTCACCAATATTTAATTAAATGATTAATTCTGAAAGCTAATTTTTGAATTATGAAATAATGAAAGCTAATTTTAAAACACTCTCAACCATAAATGGGAAAAAAAAATTATCTAAACACTTTTGATGAATAGCTAGACTATTTTTTAAATTTGTTGTTTCATCTGAATATCAACATTTGTGAGATTTAGTCAGTCAAAACAGTTTTGGTGTTAATTGATTTAATTTTGAATCTTTGGAAAACAGTGTTCTCTGACCTTGTATTATTTTACAATAATATATAATATATACAGTGGGTACGGAAAGTATTCAGACCCCCTTGTTTTTCTTTTTTAATAAATCTGCAAAAATGTCAACAATTCTGTGTTTTTCTGTCAATATGGGGTGCTGTGTGTACATTAATGAGGAAAAAAAATTAACTTAAATGATTTTAGCAAATGGCTGCAATATAACAAAGAGTGAAAAATTGAAGGGGGTCTGAATACTTTCCGTACCCACTGTATATAATAAAATATAATATTTTTTTGTGTCTATTTTTTAATGAGGCATTTAATGAGGTGGACACATCAATGCTTTAGTTATAGTTTTAATTTTGAAGTAAAAAGATAAAATTAGACCTTTGGGGTAAGATGACCCCCTAGAATTGGAACAAAAGGCCCCAAGTGGCGTGTTGTTACTAGTGTTATTATTTTTTAAATTAATTCTTATTGTAATTAATTTGGTTATTTAATATTTCCTTCAATTAGATGTACATTTCAGACATCTTTTCATTAAAAGCTATAGGTTGAGTGAAATCATTCACTTTGCATTCATAGTGTTGCTATTCACATTTCTTTACAGTAATTAAAATATGGGCTATTAAATATGTAAATATTCATATGTCTGTATATAAATCATATAATGAATTTACCTTTCAGATGAATCTCATTAATTGGGATCCCGTTTTGCCTGTTATCAGTTTCTCAATTATTCGAGTAAATTGTCAAATTAAAATATTTAATCAAATAGTTGATTTAGTATTTTACACTAAATGACCCTTTAAAACGTTTAGAAATATTAATAAAAATTATATCACAAGTCATTTATACATTCTGTAACGGTTTAGACAGGTAGGGGGTAATTTTCTTATTATTTTAATATTTTTATTTAAATTAATGTTTGCTTTTTGTATATTTTACTTAAATATTTAAATATTCTATGTATTTCTTAAAATGGATTTCATAATCAAATTTCATCAAGTTTCTGTTTTAATACCATATAATACAGCAAAATCCTGTCGCTTACTCTTTTGTGTTTTTTTTTTAGGTGTCTGGGCCACTAAGCTGGGTAAAATGGCAGGCGTCAATGTTCCTTTGATTGCCATGCACCATGCTTATGTCGTCACAGAAAGAATCGAGGGAATTCAGGTGAGCTTTTAAATGCATCTCACTGTCCAGTTCAGCATAGCATAGATCTTTAGAATTCCACGCACAAAACACAGCCGACACACTCAAATTCACATCATTAAGAGGAGAAATGCACATATTACATATAACAGTGAGGCGGTAATTTGCATGATTTATTCATATCATGGTGCATGCAGGGAAACAGAGTCCAGCATCCATTATTGATTGATATTAATGTTGATATAAAAAAAAATACTGAACAGTTTCACCACTTTTGTATGCGATATTTTAGTTCAGAATCGTGTTTATTTCTCTTAAGCACCTGCGGTCCAGTTTAACCATGTGCTGCAATAGCACTGATCTATATATAAATTAAGTAATTAGCATTATTTTAGCATTATTATCCTATGTCTTAATTAATTTAATTTTAGAATTAAAAAATTAATTAATTAAATTTAGTTTTAGAATAGCTTTTAGATTTTAGTTTAGAATAGCTTAAATTTCTTACTTTGTTTGTGTTTGAAATTTTTATAACTCCGTTATGGTTTTGGCATGAAAACAGCCAAAGAAGCTGGCATGTTGTTAAAACAAACAAAAAATAATGAATTAAACTTATTGTATGTTGTGCCCTAGTAACTAAACTGCTATTTGCCTGTCACAACTAATGTTGCACTATCACCACCTGTGAAAAGTAGGTCAGGGCTCAACAATAAGGATGTCCTGATGACCCAGGCCCAGTTTGAGAGAGTTTCAGGCCACTTGCCCCATCCGACTAGTGCTCCATTGATACTGCATTTTACATCTTGTATATGTGTATTTGTGTCTTTACAGTGTCTATAGAAGACTTATTGAATTGTGGTAATTTCAAAATTTTGTCAAGGAAAATCATTTGAGTTCACTTGACCTAGTTTCTGTTGTCCTTTGATTAGTTAATTTAGTTCACCTGTGTTAGTTAATTATCCTCATTTGGTCTGTGTATTTCAGTTCCTCTGTTTCTCCTTTAGTTTGTCCGGTATTGATGTTGTTATTTTGTTGCGTGCTCCCTTTGCCTTCATGGATTATCATCTTCTTGGATTCTATTAAACTCTTGTGTAGATGACCTTCGTCTTCATGTGCCTTTCCTCTACATGTTGCGTGACAGAATACTGGATCACAAAAAAGAAGTTTAGGCGTTTGTATCCCCGTTTATTTTCCGTTTTTGTAAGTGTTTCTTTTGGTTTTCATATGGATCGCCCCAAATTCCTCCTCCTCCTGCTGGAGCAGGGGGATCTTGCTCTCAAGGACCAGACCAGACTATTCCTGGACATTTCCGACGATACCAGCTACCCGGACGACGTGCAGAGCGCAGTTGTCCGGGGAAGGTCCTCGAGGGGATTTCGCCGCCTTCGTGGAGTGGGTGCTGGTGAGCAATGACTCGCCATTCACCATCAGTCTTGCTGGCCCCACTCCGGACCCAGAACCCAGCTGACCATCACCCCGCTGCGCGGAGTGTCAGCCAGAGCCCACCGCAGACGGGAGAGCCAAAGCCTGCCGCGACCAAAGAGCCATCGCAAGAAAGAGCGACAGAGCTGAGGATCGCCAGACCAATCAATAATCGTCTGACCAGGTGCGAGAGCCGGCAACAACGCACGTGACGGTGGATGAAACGGTGGAGAGCGAGGGCATGGAGGAAAGCCCCTCCCACTGTTCCACCGCTGAGGGTGAGCTGAGGCAGGACTCTGAGGATTTATGGACTCTGAGGACTCTGAGGACTTTTATGCAGTTATCCCCATTCTTCCATCTTCTTCTGAAATATCCGCCTGTCCTGTTACGGCCAATGAAGCCGTTTATGAACCCCTGTACATCCTGAAACGACCATGGACGTCTGTTTTAAACTGTTTGTTTGACTGTCCTGAACTATCTGCCTGTCCTATCACGACCATGGAGGTCGTAAGGCTGTGCAATTAATCACATATGATTGTCATGCGCATCTCGTCAGTAAAGCCGGTTCCGTGATTAGTAGTAAATCTCCATCACCTGCTTTCAGATGGA